AACTCAGAGTTATGGCCCTTGATTAGATATGCAGTATGCATATAGAGAAAAAATCGTTTCCGCACTACTTCTCTGCAACTACTGGCTGGAATTCAACGAAACTTTATGGGAACCTTCAATATCAAGAGGGGATGCGCATATCGTCGGCTTGTTCGGGTCAGACACTTTAACTCAGAGTTATGGCCCTTGATTAGATATGCAGTATGCATATAGAGCAAAAATCATTTTCACGCTACTTCTCTGCAACTACTGGTTGGAATTCAACAAAACTTTATGGGAACCTTCAATACCAAGAAGAGATGTGCATATCGTCACCTTGTTCGGGTCAGACACTTTAACTCAGAGTTATGGCTCTTGATTAGTTATGCAGTATGCATATAGAGCAAAAATCGTTTCCTCACTACTTCTCTGCAACTACTGGCTGGAATTCAACAAAACTTTATGGGTACCTTCAATACTAAGAGGAGATGCGCATATCGTCACCTTGTTAGGGTCAGACACTTTAACTCAGAGTTATGGCTCTTGATTAGTTATTCAGTATGCATATAGAGCAAAAATCGTTTCTGTGCTACTTCTCTGCAACTACTGGCTGGAATTCAACAAAACTTTATGGGAACCTTCAATACCAAGAGAAGATGCGCATATCATTGCCTTGTTATGGTCAGACACTTTAACTCAGAGTTATGGCCCTTGATTAGTTATGCAGTATGCATATAGAAAAATATTCGTTTCTGCGCTACTTCTCTGCAACTACTGGCTGGAATTCAATGAAACTTTATTGGAACCTTCAATACCAAGAGGAGATGGGCATATCATCGCCTTGTTCGGGTCAGACATTTTAACTTAGAGTTTTGGCCCTTGATAACTTATGCAGTATACAACCAGAGCAATAATCGTTTCCATGCTACTTCTCTGTAACTACTGGCTGGAATTCAATGAAACTTTATGGGATACGAAGAGGAGATGTGCATATAGTCGCCTTGTTCCGGTCAGACACTTATAACTCAGATTTATGGCCCTTGATTAGTTGTGCAGTATGCATACATCTCATAGGCATTTCCAAATATTACTATTTAACACAGAGTTATGGCTCTGTTATTGCCCTGAATATTTATCAAGTTCAAAGAATATTACTGTTTATGCCATGATAAATGTATAAATAAAGCCTTATGTCTTCAGTTGTTGTGTTAGTAATAACCAGTACTCGGCGGGGGATATAAATTCAACGAATTTGCTTGTTATTTATAAAATTGATTGTGTTCATACTTCATTACTACAATTTTTTAATTGGACAAGACTTTCAAGTAAACCAAATTGATTATGGCCATCACTCATCAAAAACCTTGAAGGTCAAATTAATGAAATTTGCTTGATTTTTGTTATAACTAGGTATAATTTTGTTATTTATAAACAGAATGTCTTCATACTAATGGACACAATGATCCTTTTTAACAAAATCTTTAAGTACATCAAATTGTATATAACCTTTGCTGATCAATGACGTCCCGAGCAAGTTGTTGTTTTCTTGAGCAAGAAACTACACTCATTGCTCAGTACTGGTTAGTTCCAGGAATGGATTCGAAAATGTGTCTATAAGCTTATAGCTTGCTACACAATCAAACGAAAATAAATTCTGTATAAGCCATATAAATGTATAAATTCTGATTAAATTGTCACAACTTTGTTTGTTATGTTTTAACAGATTTGAATCGTACTTGGACAAGAACACTTATGACAAAACCAATATGTTGAATATTTTAAGTGTGACCTTGACCTTTATTTGACCTTGACCATCAAGGTCAAATTATTGAAATTTGCTTACAGTTATGTTGTGCTCATTTAGTTTGTGTCAAGTTTAGTCGAATTGACTATATATTTCAAAAGATTTACCATTATTATGGTGTATGGTGAATGACGGAAAATGTTAGGGATAAGATGTAAATCTGCCTTAAATATAAAAAGATTGCCCCTGTGACTTTTTTTGATAACTTGAATGTTACAGGTAAATGGATATTTACAGAAATTTCCTAAAGTCATGAGAGTTTTTTCTTAATTATATAATCGAAAGGAATTATTGGAAAGTGTAAACTTATTTTCACTTTCACCAGTTCACTCACTATATATATCCTCGGATGGGCATTATTATGTCCCTTTAAATTGTCATAACTTTTTTTAAAAACATACTTGGACAAAGGAGCACATAAGACAAAACAGACATGTTTAATTATTCTGATATGACATTGAACTTTAATTGACCTTGACTGTCAAGGTCAAATTATTATTAGAAGAAGGGGTATATTGTTTTGCTAATGTCGGTCTGTCTGTCGGTCTGTCCGTCGATAGACCACATGGTTTCCACTGATTATCTTGAAAACTATTTATCACAGACTTCATATTTCACATAGTGATTTGGCATAACTAGTAAATAACCGCTATTGATTTTAGGGTCAAAGGTCATGGTCATAGGGGCCTTAAATGTCAGAAGGGTTTCAGCTTGTTATCTTGAAAAGTATTCATCACAAAGTCTTCATATTTCACATGTTAAATGGTCATAACCAGTAGATGACCCCTATTGATATTGGGGTTAAAGGTCAAGGTCACAGGAGCCTCAAATGTCAGAATGGTTTCTGCTCATTATCTTGGTTACAATTCATTGAAAAGTCTTCATATTTCACATATTGATTGGTCATAACTAGTAGATGACTCCTATCAATTTTGCTGTCACTAGGTCAAAGGTCAGGGTCAGAGGGGCCTTGAATGGTAATATGGTTTCGCATTATTTTCTTGAAAACTGTTTACTAGTATCTCAAAGTCTTCATAGTTCACATATTGATTGGTCATAACTAGTAGATAACCCCTACTGATTAAAGGTTCACTAGGTCAAAGGTCAAGATCAGAGGGGCCTTAAATGTCTGAATGGTTTCAGCTGATTATCTTGAAAAGTATTCATCACAAAGTCTACATGTTTCATATAGTGATTGGTCATAACTAGTAGATGATCCCTATTGACTTTGGGGTCACTAGGTCAAAGGTCTAGGTCACAGGGGCCTTAAATGTCAGAATGGTTTCCGCTGATTATCTTGAAAAATATTCAACACAAAGTCTTCATATTTCACATATTGATTGGTCATAACTAGTAGATGACCCCTATAGATTTTTTTTTTTGGGGTCTTTTTTAAATTTTTTAAAAAGAAATAATTGTTTTATGTTGGGCCTTCTCCTTCTTAAGGGGTTATTTTCCGACCAGTTCTTCTATATTGACGTTTATTATTGTCACTAATTTTCTTGATAACAACGTTTATTTACCCCCCCCCCCCCAAAAAAAAAAAAATTTTTTAAAAAGTTAAATGAAAATTTTATTCAAAAATTTTCCCCGCAGGAAACCTTTTTAAAACTTTTGCCCCTTTCCGAAAAAAAAAATCAGTTTCTTCATTATCTAAACGTTTACAATTCAATTTTTTTAATTTGATATCATAAAAATGTGTTAAGTTCAATTTCTAGGTTCGATGTTTTTTACAGGATCCCTTAATTTAAAAAAAAAATCATTTTCGTTCATTTTCCAACATACACATTCAACTCAAATTAATTTTATGATATGTAAGAATGGGTCAATAAAAAATTGGTATTTTTTGATGATTTTTCCGAGTCTCCTTTAACTTAAAAAGGAAATTTTTTATTCTTATCTCCCAACTTTTAACTCAAAACGTAAAGAATGCAAAAGGGTCTTTTTTAATTTTTGTCAGGGGTTCAAGATTTTTTTCATTTGAAAAAAAACAAAAAAAAAACAGTTTTCATTTCCGTTATTTCCCCCAAATTTATTTTAATTTGAAAAAATAAAATTGTTCCGTTTCCTTTTTCATCACCCCAATGGTTTTTACATCAACTCAAATTAATTAAAAACACAAAAACAGAATTTAATTCTTTAAATTTTTTCCCAAATTTTTCTCTTGAATTTGAAAAAAAATGTTACCGTTCGCATCCGTCACAATAATAATTGTTAATCACTCAAATTAATAAATACCTTATAAATAAACTAAAAAATTGTTGATTTGTGATAAAAGTTACAAAATGCTTTTTATTAATATAGTAGTTAATTTACTTTATGTATACATACGCATTATTGTAACGTTTATGTAATAAGGGTCTTTTTATTTGATTTTGTAATCAGGTTAATATGGACGTTTATGAATACGGTTTATAATTGTGATTATGTATACGGGTATTACATTTGGTTTTATTATACATTTATATTTTTGGGTTTATATATCATTTTCTATTTTGTGAGTTTTTTAAATTTTACAGGTTTATTTTTGTACTTTATATAAAAGTTTCTTTTTTGTGACTTTATTTTACAGGTGCATTATTGTATTTTAGTATACAGAATGTATTTTTTTTACGTTATGTGAACAGGGTCTTTATGGATTTTATTGATACAATGTATTTTTGTGACTTTTATTATACATTTATTATTTGATGTTATGTGATACTTTATTTTTTGTGATTTTATGTAAACACGATGTTTATTGTGAGTTTATGTAACGGGTTTTTTTTTGGAGTTTTTTGGATACATATTATTTTTGTGATTTTTTATGAATACGGGTAGTATTATTTTTGTGACGTTTTAATAGGACATTTTCTATACATTTGACTTGTGTAAAAATACCTAACATATGTCCAATTTACAATGGAAACAAGAGCAGATGTTCTTCCCAGTTGGAAATACATTTCGACTCAAAATGACATGAATGAAATAATGAATATCTATGAAATAAATAAACAAATAAATAAATAAATGCAAGTAGATAAATGGTCACATAAAGATTAAATATTGTTTTGGCTTTCCCGTAGATGATGAATGTAACATTGAAATATCCGACTTGTTGCTGGTTTATCGTCTCATTTAATGTAGACACTTGATAGTATTCACCAAAACATGGAATTAATATGTATTTCAAAAATAAATTCCTGCGAAATAAACTGCACTTTTTGTTTGAATACATAATGTAAAATTGACATGTTTCGATTAGATATCACAGCAATACAGTTACATGTAGCTACTGTTTCGTGGTCGGCACTGATGACTGTATCTAGTAGCCAATGTTCAGTTCTCCGTTTCGTGGTCGGCACTGGTACACGTACAACTGAAATAAAATTAGAAAACCATGGCTGTAATTTAATGTGATCATATCGTACGTATGATTTATAAACGGTAATGCATTTGTACTACTCGTTCAAATGAGTTCAGCACGTCAATTCTGTTACTTCATACTCGAACACCTATGCCAGTTAATATTATTGGCAAAACATTTAAGTGAACAATATGTGTGTATCAATTAACATGATGGAATAATTAAATGCATTACAAACCAAACACATGCGTTTCATTTTAACACGAAAAAATAACGTACGTATAAGACGGCACAGTTTGCTGGGTCAAACAATCATATTCTTATATTGAAGAATGAGAAACAGATACTTCATTATACTTCATTATATGATACTAACAAAGATAACCATGAATATTTTTTCGATAATGATCATTTAAATAAATGAAGGATAATAATTGTACTTACATCATCTATCAGTCCAACATATGACTGTAGTCCACTGCCATAGCCAACTTGTAAGGCGCAATGATTTGCTTGTATATGTCCATACGACCATCTCGCTTTCGAGGCACCACAAACTCTACCCTCTAACTTTTTCATATTGTGTATGTAAATGACCTCCTTCCAATCTTTATCCTGAAGTAAAGTGTATAGTAATGCATTAAAAATGTTAAAAATGTTAGTATGAGTGAAGTTTATAACGAACAGGGACGGATATTCGATACATGTGAGAGTATAGGTATTTACTTTACAGAAGTCTTTGCTAAAATATTACATTTTTGTGTTACTAAAATTGCTGATACCTTTTTCGATATTATCATAATTTCTTTTTAAAAACGGTTTAAGGTTTCTTTTCAAGAAAGGTAGGTAACATATAAAAAAGCATATTACCAGGGTGGGCAATGCAAAGCTCCTCGATGTATCTGTCTTTGCTCCAAGTAAAACATAGCCGGGCATCTTAGCTATAATATAGAAGGATCTGAACCACAATCACCATTGGTAACGAGAGCTTGTAACTTGTTGAAATATGAACCACGTTTAAACTCATTATAACGGAACTTGATCACAAGATCGCCGTAAAATTCCGTGTTAGCAAAGCGATTTATTATGATTCGGGAATTCCCGTTGAAAAGAGCTGCCCCTCTATGTATTGTCACGTTTTCTGGTTTAACGAAAACATTTTTTCCAGACCGATCTTGAAAGCTATTTGTAAAAGGGAGGAATATCTCAGGTTTGCACAGTTGTTGTCTATTTCTTCCGGGTACGTTCATGATGAAAAGTGAACATTTGCAATCCACAGGATTAAATGCTGTACCTGGAGCACAATGCATAGTGACCCAATGATTGTTGCCTATATGCTGCTCGAACATTGTGTCTTTCCCAGTCGGTCTCTTATCACAAACTAAAAATATAAAAAAAAGTTTAAGATTCAATTGAACTGCTCAAGTCAGTTTTAATAAAAGTATATTAAAGTTGATCATACGATTTCTTTTTGGTTTATTTTAAGATATTATTTTATAATACATTTTCTGCAACACAATAAAGTGGTCACCTGGTATTTCATCATGGAAGGGACAAGTATCTAAACATTCGGCGTCAGGAACACATTGGTTTTGAAGGCGGCTAAATGACGAACCCTCACCACAACACTCTCCATATGCACGCCCATTCTTGCATTTCCAGTAGGCACAGCATTTGTTTGGATCTTTGTGCTGATAAGACTGAACTAAAGGATTTTTGCACTGATCTATAATTAAATAAAAACGATTAACATAGTTCAGGCAAAAGTGGGTAAAATGTATGTTTAAAATTTTATAATGGTCTCTCAAATATATGTAAAATTAATATATTTTATACAAAGTCACTTTGGGTGAGGAGCTCCAAACGCCTTAAAATCCAAACAAAATGCATAGACGTTTACTTAGATAGACGTTGTAATAGGATTTTTCCCCAAACAGCTTAAAGTAAGTGTATGTGATTAGATAAACAAATATATATTTTATTTGGATTCTAATGCATCACAAGTGTCTGTGTTTTATACATGTAGCTGATCTGCTTTCTTTCCACTATTTGAACTTGAATGTGTTGTAGACTACATTCGGTTGTTTAAATTTACTTCGTTAAGATTTTTTTATATTACATCACTTTAAAGTAAAACTTGAGGGGAAATAGTAAGAACTTATTAAATAGACATACCATTTGGGCAGTCCACTTCATGCGATGGTTTGCATGTTAGAGCGTTCTGATCCCAAAACAAACCAAATGGACACTTCCGATAGGCTGGTTCCAAGCCTCTATTTCCTTTAAAACATTGGACAAACTGATTGCAGTCATATGGATGATTGTTGTATCCTACACCATTTATAAATCTGCAACTGTCGCATACACCTAAAAAAAACCCACAAATTTCACTGGCATCATTAATTGTGTACTAATTTCTGTAGTATGCCCCCACATCCGTTTCCCCCCTTTTCGCCACGTAAATGCAAAAAAAAAAAATATATGCAAAAACGCGAAGATACGACAACGTATATTTGTATTTTCGCATTCTTAAAGGCGAAACAAGCGAAAAGAAGACACAATTAGCCAAAATAAGGCATATATGAAATGTGTAGTGTTTACGCCTGTTATTTGCTTTGTATTTGATTTTCATATACATGTATCTTATATATTTATATATATTGTATTTTCGATTTTTCACATTAATATATTGTATATTTTATTGCATTGTTGCACTGTCACATTTTTGCATCGTTGCATTTTAGCTTTGTCGCATTGATGCTTTTTCGCATCTTACAAAAGATTTTGTAAACTCCCTCCGTTGCATTTGATGTGCACATGCGCTTGTACAAGTGGAACGCGAGAATGCGACAAAGCGAAAATGCACCAATGTAATTTCGTCTCGAAAGATGTACACATTTTAATTGTCATATTGTCACATTTCTCTTGTCGCCCTTACACTTTTCGTCTACAGAGTGCAAAAATGGCGAAAAGTTTAAAAATACAAAAGTGCGATATGACGAAAATCGGCCACAATAGATTTCCATACCAAGTACACATAGCTTTATTTTTATGAAATGTTTTCAATAGATATAATCTATTTAATGTTTGAGGCAAACTATAATTTTACAAATGGAATTTAATATTTTAATATTTTTAACTCACTTGGCTCTCCCGTTGTCATGTTGGTTGTAATGCCCTCACAAGAAAACTTTGGTTTTTCCCATTTACCGCTCCCCTTACACTTGACCACACCTTTACCAACCATCTTAAATCCGTCCTCACAGAAATATACACGTTTAGCACCTACAGTACTGGGTCCCGTCCCGGTGTACGCGTTTGCTACCATAGGGGGATCTCCACAATCTATAAATGAATCACGTAATATTTCTTCCATGACTTCATGCAGATAAATCAATTGCTATGTTTCGAAAGGTGCATTGCCCTATGTCAGGTATTTATCTTCTTATTTTCTTATTTACAAAATAATTTTACCAACTTATTCTGCAAGTTGTCAGTCACTGCACGCAGGAATTTACATAAGATATTAAAGTACTTCATAGAAATAATAAAAAGAAACTTACAAAGTTAGATAACTACAAGGAAAATTTTCCCAAAATGTTCATATGAGATCCATGGAATAACAAGCGCAAATGTAAAATTTTCTTGTACTGACATAAGACATAAGATAATGATAACTATTTATATTTTCATTAATTCTTATGCATTTTAAGGTTTATATTAATAAATTAAGAATATAATTATTATAGTTCTATAATTTCTTACTTACAACTTCTTAATTTATAATTCTACTTTTAATAATTTCTTATCACTTTTTTAACCCTTTCACTGCCATAGGGACGGCTTAAGCCGTCCCTGTTATTTTCGGCGTATTTGCCATATGGACGGCTTTAGCCGTTTCTATAATAATAATAATAGTAATAATAATATATTTATAATAATAATAATAAAGATAATAATAAATATAAAGAAAATTATACCATTGACAATAATTATTATTATACTAACAGATTTGGAAACATATATAATTATTATAATACTAATAACAAATAATAATAATTATATTAATTAATAATATAGTAATTTCTTAGAAAATCCTCTGGCAAATAGGTGAACAATAAAACAATAACCCTCTGGCAGCGAAAGGGCTAATGTAGTTATATATCAAATTTGAAAACTTACCATGACAAGTAAAAGAAGGATTCGACCAAGTGGCATCATCTTGGCAGGTCGTAGTGGGATTTCCTTTTAACACATAACCAATCATGCATGTGTAGGTTCTTTGTGTGCCTAAAATGCTCACACCATCTTTACAAATTGCATTCTCAATAACTGGTGTCGGACCACATGGAACACACTGGAAGTCAGGTTGACTCCACTGAGGACTGGCCCATGACATATTATCAAGGCATTCTATATCTGCTGTGCCGATAGCACGATATCCAGGAAGACATGAAAGTTTTCTGTGGGTTCCAATTGTAAATTTTCCGTCACCACAAAGTCCATTCTCAATTACCGGTGTCGGACCACATGAAACACACTGGAAGTCAGGTTGACTCCACTGAGGACTGGCCCATGACATATTATCAAGGCATTCTATATCTGCTGTGCCGATAGCACGATATCCGGGAAGACATGACAGTTTTCTGTGGGTTCCAATTGTAAACTTTCCGTCACCACAAAGTCCATTCTCAATTACCGGTGTTGGACCGCATGGAACACACTGGAAGTCAGGTTGACTCCACTGAGGACTGGCCCATGACATATTATCAAGGCATTCTATATCTGCTGTGCCGATAGCACGATATCCAGGAAGACATGAAAGTTTTCTGTGGGTTCCAATTGTAAATTTTCCGTCACCACAAAGTCCATTCTCAATTACCGGTGTTGGACCGCATGGAACACACTGGAAGTCAGGTTGACTCCACTGAGGACTTGCCCATGACACATTATCAATGCATTCTATATCTGCTGTGCCGATAGCACGATATCCGGGAAGACATGAAAGTTTTCTGTGGGTTCCAATTGTAAATTTTCCGTCACCACAAAGTCCATTCTCAATTACCGGTGTTGAACCGCATGGAACACACTGGAAGTCAGGTTGACTCCACTGAGGACTGGCCCATGACATATTATCAAGGCATTCTATATCTGCTGTACCGATAGCACGATATCCGGGAAGACATGAAAGTTTTCTGTGGGTTCCAATTGTATATTTTCCGTCACCACAAAGTCCATTCTCAATTACCGGTGTTTGACCACATGGTACACACTGGAAATCAGATTTGCTCCACTGGGGACTCGTCCATGCCATATTATCAAGGCATTCTATATCTGCTGTGCCGATAGCACGATATCCAGGAAGACATGAAAGTTTTCTGTGGGTTCCAATTGTAAATTTTCCGTCACCACAAAGTCCATTCTCAATTACCGGTGTTGGACCGCATGGAACACACTGGAAGTCAGGTTGACTCCACTGAGGACTGGCCCATGACACATTATCAAGGCATTCTATATCTGCTGTGCCGATAGCACGATATCCGGGAAGACATGAAAGTTTTCTGTGGGTTCCAATTGTAAATTTTCCCTTGCCACAAAGTCCATTCTCAATTACCGGTGTTTGACCACATGGAACACACTGGAAGTCAGGTTGACTCCACTGAGGACTGGCCCATGACACATTATCAAGGCATTCTATATCTGCTGTACCGATAGCACGATATCCGGGAAGACATGAAAGTTTTCTGTGGGTTCCAATTGTAAATTTTCCGTCACCACAAAGTCCATTTTCAATTACCGGTGTTGGACCACATGGAACACACTGGAAGTCAGGTTGACTCCACTGAGGACTGGCCCATGACACATTATCAATGCATTCTATATCTGCTGTACCGATAGCACGATATCCAGGAAGACATGAAAGTTTTCTGTTGGTTCCAATTGTAAATTTTCCGTCACCACAAATTCCATTCTCAATTACCGGTGTTGGACCGCATGGAACACACTGGAAGTCAGGTTGACTCCACTGAGGACTGGCCCATGACACATTATCAAGGCATTCTATATCTGCTGTGCCGATAGCACGATATCCAGAAAGACATGAAAGTTTTCTGTGGGTTCCAATTGTAAACTTTCCGTCACCACAAAGTCCATTCTCAATCACCGGTGTTGGACCGCATGGAACACACTGGAAGTCAGGTTGACTCCACTGAGGACTGGCCCATGACACATTATCAAGGCATTCTATATCTGCTGTGCCGATAGCACGATATCCAGGAAGACATGACAGTTTTCTGTGGGTTCCAATTGTAAACTTTCCGTCACCACAAAGTCCATTCTCAATTACCGGTGTTTGACCACATGGAACACACTGGAAATCAGGTTGGCTCCACTGAGGACTCGCCCATGCCATATTATCAAGGCATTCTATATCTGCTGTGCCGATAGCACGATATCCAGGAAGACATGAAAGTTTTCTGTGGGTTCCAATTGTAAATTTTCCGTCACCACAAAGTCCATTCTCAATTACCGGTGTTGGACCACATGGAACACACTGGAAGTCAGGTTGACTCCACTGAGGACTTGCCCATGACATATTATCAAGGCATTCTATATCTGCTGTACCGATAGCACGATATCCGGGAAGACATGAAAGTTTTCTGTGGGTTCCAATTGTAAATTTTCCCTCGCCACAAAGCCCATTCTCAATGACGGGAGTTGGTCCACATGGAACACATTCAAAATTCGGTTTGCTCCACGTGGCATCGTTCAGACATTTGATACTCTGGTCCCCAACAGGACGGTAACCCTTTTTGCAAGTATATGTACGCGTTGTTCCTATTGTGAATTCCCCTCCGCTGCATATGCCGTTTTTCACAACTGGGGTCTCCTTTCTACAAGCTTCAAGTAAAGATGATAAAATTCCCAATTATGACAATAGTTCTTCAGGTTCTTTTTATGTTTTAATTGACAAAATTTCTTATTAAAATTTGATATCAATTTATATATAAAATATATGTTACTCTAGTAAAGTAAATCATAAAATCTAGTATACTTACAAACACATTCAAAATCTAGAGACAACGGTGTCCATGTGAAGTCCCTTTGACACTGAATGGTTGACTTTCCACGCTGTAAATAACCACTTTCACATGTGTATGTACGAACAGTTCCAATGGCTCGAGCACCATCGTTGCACTTTGCGTGTGGTACAGTCGGTGGTACCGGACAAGCTGTATGACGAATGATTAAACTAAGCATTAATTTTGATAGTTACAACACTTCTGAAATTGTCCAAGGTTTCATGACTTATTAATGAAATAAAATTCTTATCTTATAACATATTTGATAGTCTTGGTTGATTGACTGACTTTCAAATATGTTAGTATTTCAGCACTAATAAATTCTAATCGTTTATACGTAAAGCGGATTATAAAAGGCATTTTTATAATTCGACGCTTCATATGCAGTTCCAATAAATTCCCATAAAGCATATGTTTTGTTATACAGTTAGTGAAATATGGTAATTAATGTATTGTAGTTGTTAATTAATGAATGAGAAGTCACTATTGTAGAAAGGATAATTATATAAGCAGTGAATAGAGTCATTTGTATTTAAACAAAATTTAACCATACGTAACTTGTGGCAAATATCTGAATTCTGGTGTATTATATAACTGTTCAACTGCTTAGAAATCAATTACTTACGGCAAATTGTAAACATCATTTGTTTGAGCATATTTTGGAGTTGACTAAAATCGTCGATTGCCATAACTTGATTCGGTGTTGATGCTATGTTTTCCAACTCTCGTAGTGCGATCCTGTGTCCAATACCAACAGCAAACATGCTTATACCCATTTTATCTGCCTGCTTTGCTTGTTTTATAGTTTCCGTCGCATTTTTGCTGATTCCGTCTGTGATAACAACACAAACCCAAGGAACATTTTTACGACCATTTTTCTTGAAGAATTTTTTCATATGCTGTAATGAGAAAGTGAAGTGACTTGGTATTGAAAAAAACTTTATATTGCCTTTACAATAATGTATATCTAAAGTCAAATTGAGAATAGGTTCAAGAAGATGGTTAAAGTAGGTATTGCTAGCAGGTTATGTTTAATATAGGATATATTACTGACCTTGATACCAAGTGCTGTATCTGTCCCATCACGTGGGTGTTGTAAAGTTTTCGCGGCATTTATGAGGTAGTGCTGGTTGTAGGAAAAATCATGTTCACTCATTACAGGCACATGTGAACTGTACACTAACATGCCAATTCGAGCTTTATTGTGTCCAAGATCTATTTCCGGGATCAGATTTTCAACAGCGGTCTTCAACAGTCCGAAATCATGATATGAAATACTATCTGATCCATCTATCACAACATATAGGTCAATTAATGAACGACATTCTGAAATAATTAGGTATCGTGTATAAGTATCATACCAATATCAAAATTGTTGCATACAAACTAACATAACAGTTTTTACAATAGCAGTTCTCGGATATCTACAAGACATAATTTTTCAAATTTGCAAGTTCTACAAACATCTGTTTCTAGTACCGGTATTCTTAGTTACCAAAATTTTTTAAAATAGAAATAGCTCCTTTTTACTGTACTTATTTAACAAATGATCAAAATCACATTAATTGTTTCCCTGTTTCTACCTGCTGGGTTGATTCTCGCTGCTGGAGTATGAATACAGAGTGTCACGTGTAATATGAACGCGCACGTGATGGTAAACACGCTTTGTTTTAGCAACATTACAACCTGAAAAGGAACAACATGTTAAAAATTACGAGATTGGCGAAAAACTGATTAAAAGAAAAAGAAATTTAATTTAACCAAAGTAAGAATGAAATACTAGTATTTAACAAATTACATCATTTAAAAAGATATTGAATATTATTATCGCACGTAAAACATTGTTTAACAATTTTAGCTATAGTGAACGCAGTAAAATGCTTATATACTCAATTATATATATTAATATTATTTATAACATGTATGTTTTATAAATATATTCAAATCTCAAGAAAGAACCAGTTTTAAAAGAAGATAGAAATATAACTTTGTAAACGTACCTAGTGAAGACCAGTCTTGCAAATATATATGTATAAAGTTTCAAAAATATTTAAAACAATGATAATGAATAGTGAAAGAAAAATAGATGTTACAAAACTACAAGGAAAATTATTTGTGGTCTACACAGCTTGGTGCTCTTATATATAATCATGATATAATAGAACCGCGAAATCTTTGTCATCCCATTGGTGTTTCCTTTTATTGTTGAAAAATAACTGTACGTAAGTTCAACTGTCAGACGTTTTAAATGACGTACATATTAAACTCACGGCTCACTGAACATGTTGAGTGTATACATGTTTAATTATTAACAAATGTAATGAATAGGCATTTTTGTTTTAAATTTAAAAAAAGACACTGACTCAATTTTAATACTTGATTTGTAATATGTTTCATACAGCGATTAAACATATCTACGGTTATATTTACAGAGCTATATAGCAGATATTTTCCTTCTTATACAGTTTACTTCTGGCCGCTGTATGATTGTATATAAGTTATTAGTTAACATAAACTTTTCCCTAATTACATTATTACCTTATAATTTGTTACTAGATTCTATATTCTCTTTCAAAGACTCACCTTGTTTTCTTGGAATAAACATCATCTTTGTAAATCTACAGTAAAACCTCCCACACATCTTCAGTGGAACATCCCCGAATTTCTTTTCAGAATTTATCTAAATTACAGTGAAACTTCTCTCAACACAAGCTTTTTGTTCGGTTTTAGGGATTTCACACGGACTAATGCATTCTTTCAAACTAGCAAAATATAAGATTTTTCAGTCGGTAAAATGTCTAAATGACTTTACTTAAAAAAATATTATTTCTTTTTTAACAGTAAATTATGCAAATAACACGCATTAATTAGCTACTCAAATGACACTCAAAGTGGAAACATTTTATTCAAATGTAAATTGTAATCATATTGTGAATTGTGAAAAAATAGCGTTACTTTCTCTGTAATTGGTAAATAATGAATTTATCTAAAATACCCGATCTTAAATGCATAGAGATGAACATTTAAGTTTGTAGAACAATGCATGAGAAAATAAGTGGAGGCGTGTCATAATCCAACTAGTAATATACATGTGAACATTATAGGATAGCTGACCTCAGTCTGGTGTAAGTATAAGACATTGAAACTTGAACATTATAGGATAGCTGACCTCAGTCTGGTGTAAGTATAAGACATTGAAACTTGAACATTATAGGATAGCTGACCTCAGTCTGGTGTAAGTATAAGACATTGAAACTTTACACTCATTGCTAAGTTCTGCTTGGTCCGAAGAATGGATATAAGCTTACACAAAATCAAACAAGAATAAATTCTATATAAACCATGAGCAAATTCTGTAAATCTTTAATAAGCCAATGTTCGCAACAATGTCTGTCGCTGGTGTTATGGTATCTCGTTTTTAAGTGGCTTCTTTGTCAAATGTGTGGAATTGTTTAATAAATAAATAAATTGAATAACTGGATTATAAGTTAGAAAGGTTTCACTGAATTTCGTTTAAATTATGTTTGTATGAGTACATGCATTCTATAATTTTTTTTATCTAATGTGATAATGGCAGGCAAGAATGATATTCTTTTGAAATATATTACATGTGCACATAACTCATTGTATATGCCTTATGTTCTGTTAACTTAGTTTAAGACTTGTAGTTAACCAACAGTCATGATTTTGTTAATTTTGAAAATCCTCTATACTTGCTTTACCACACCCTGGTTGATGTACTTTTGTTTATAGTGACATGAACTCCAGAAATAGAAATACAGTTCATTTGCTGCGAAGTCATTTGGACGTGTATCAACCACAATCTCCGTTTATTAAAACCAATTAATAATGCAAATTTTATTTCCGTTGTTGTGCACAGAAATGATTGAACGTATAATCTTGTTTGACGTAACGTTGTTAACGTTAATGGTCTCGACCGGATGGGTTTTTACATCATTATGTACGATTGTAGTCAATCATGAATAAATTTACTAACATATATATTTAGTTACTTTTGTTGTGAGTTTAATTACTTAACTGGTATTTTGTGATATTACACGTTTGGATTTTAATCGTATGTTTTGCTAATGCTAATTCTTATTCTTTAATATTTTGTGAACTTAAGACATTATATTAAAATATTTTAGCATTTGATTATAACAAACAAGTACATGCATATACTTCAATCTAAACTTTATAATTTTCAGATCATATTATACAACTCATAGCAATGATTTGAAAAAATATAGAAAAAAGAAGATGTATAATTTAAAATATGATGTGTTAGAATTTAATTAACATAGTTTTTGTGTGGATAGTCAGCATTGTGTTTCTGTCAATTATTATTTAAGTCTTGTATGAACAACAATATACGGATAGTAGTGGAGACAAGCGTGAAATATGTCTTATTTGTACCTTCATGTCCAGTTCCTTTGGCGGATATGTCCAATCCGCTATAAAATAAAACTACATGCAGTTCGGGGCCTTTATTAGAGATTTGATACTTGATACTTTAAATATAATATGTCACCACTCTTTCCCGAGTTAAAAATGAATATTGATAAATCAACTTTTTACTTATGTGTTTTCTCACAATATTCATTGAATATTTTATAAAGCAGACATACATCATATGAGAATGGATTTTTGTTTTTGATTTTATAATGAATATATTTTAATGTGTTTTAAGGAGATGAGGACTGTACTGATACTCGTGATTTCTGTACAATTTTTGGAGCTTGTCTACACACAGAGAGGGCGACAAGTAAACGAACCTAGTAAGAATATTATTTTCTCGTATATATCATAAATATCTTGTGTTTTTGTTTGTTTGTTTGATTACCATTGATAACACATTTTGTGTTTAATTAGATAAAGTAATAACTTATGTTTCCACCGAATTTATAAAGATATATTAAAATACATTAAAGCAAATCAAAGGAAAATTTACCAGGAATCAAATTGATATAGTTCTGTTCTTCCATTAACGGCTTTGTCATTATTTATGTATACATGTATATTATTTAGGTATTAACCAAAACTGACATTTGTAAAAAAATTAATATAATCAAGCTACAACCAACGACCCTTGATAAAGCTACAATTCATGATTTACGGATAAAGCTATAGTCCATAATTCACGAATAAATCTACAATCCATGATTTTCGGATAAAACAACATAACATGATTTACGAATAAAGCTACCAATCCATGATTTCCGGATAAATCTACAATCCATGATTTCCGGATAAAACTACAATCCATGATTTCCGGATAAATCTACAATTTCATGATTTACGAATAAAACTACAATCCATGATTTCCGAATAAATCTACAATCCATGATTTCCGGATAAAACTACAATCCATTTGATTTCCGGATAAATCTACAATCCATGATTTCCGGATAAAACTACAATCCATGATTTCCGGATAAAACAACATAACATGATTTACGAATAAAGCTTCAATCCATGATTTCCGGATAAATCTACAATCCATGATTTCCGGATAAATCTACAATCCATGATTTCCGGATAAAACTACAATCCATGATTTCCGGATAAAGCTACAATCCATGATTTCAGGATAAAGGTTCAATCCATGATTTCCGGATAAATCTACAATCCATGATTTCCGGATAAATCTACAATCCATGATTTCCGGATAAAACTACAATCCATGATTTCCGGATAAAACTACAATCCATGATTTCCGGATAAAACTACAATCCATGATTTCCGGATAAAACTACAATCCATGATTTCCGGATAAATCTACAATTCATGATTTACGAATAAAACTACAATCCATGATTTCCGAATAAATCTACAATCCATGATTTCCGGATAAAACTACAATCCATGATTTCCGGATAAATCTACAATCCATGATTTCCGGATAAAACTACAATCCATGATTTCCGGATAAAACTACAATCCATGATTTACGGATAAAGCTACAATCCATGATTTCAGGATAAAGCTACAATCCATGATTTCCGGATAAAGCTACAATCCATGATTTACGGATAAAGCTACAATCCATGATTTACGGATAAAGCTACAATCCATGATTTACGGATAAAGCTACAATCCATGATTTACGGATAAAGCTACAATCCATGATTTATGGATAAGGCTACAATCCATGATTTACGGATAAAGCTACAATCCATGATTTCCGGAAAAACTACAATCCATGATTGCCGGATAGAACTACAATTCATGAGATTTATGGATAAACCTACAATCCATGAGATTTACGAATGAAGCTACAATCCACGATTCCGGATAAAGCTACAATCCATGATTTCCGGATAAAATCTACAATTCATGATTTACGAATAAAACTACAATCCATGATTTCCGAATAAATCTACAATCCATGATTTCCGGATAAAACTACAATCCATGATTTCCGGATAAATCTACAATCCATGATTTCCGGATAAAACTACAATCCATGATTTCCGGATAAAACTACAATCCATGATTTCCGGATAAAACTACAATCCATGATTTCCGGATAAAACTACAATCCATGATTTCCGGATAAAACAACAATCCATGATTTACGGATAAAGCTAAAATCCAGGAGATTTACGGATAAAGCTACAACTCATGATTCAGAATAAATCTACAATCCATATAATTTACGGATAAAGCTACAATCCATGATTTATGGATAAGGGTACAATCCATGATTTCCGGATAAAGCTACAATCCACGATTTCCGGATAAAACTACAATCCACGATTCCGGATAAAGCTACAAAATCCATTAGATTTACGGATAAAGATACAATCCATGATTTATGGATAAAGCTACAATCGATGAAATTTACGGATAAAGCTACAATCCATGATTTTCTGATAAAACTACAATTTACGATTCCGGATAAAGCTACAATCCATGAGATTTACGATATAGCTACATCCATGATTTCAGGATAAAGCTTCAATTAACGATTTCCGGATAAAACTACAATCCATGATTCCGGATAAAGCTACAATCCATGAGATTTACGGATAAAGCTACATCCATGATTTCTGGATAAAGCTACAATCCATCATTTCCGGATAAAACTTCAAGCCACGATTCTGGATAAAGCTACAATCCATGAGATTTACGGATAAAGCTACATCCATGATTTCTGGATAAAGCTACAATCCATGATTTCCGGATAAAACTTCAATCCACGTTTCTGGATAAAGCTTACAATCCATGAGATTTACGGATTAAAGCTACATCCATGATTTCTGGATAAAGCTACAATCCATGATTTACGGATAAAACTTCAATCCACGTTTCTGGATAAAGCTACAATCCATGAGATTTACAGATAAAGCTACATCCATGATTTCTGGATAAAGATACAATTCATGATTTCCGGATAAAACTACAATCCACGATTCCGGATAAAGCTACAATCCATGAGATTTACGAATAAAGGTACAATCCATGATTTACGGATCAAGCTATGTACAATCCATGAGATTTACGAATAAAGCTACAATCAATGATTTACGGATAAAGCTACAACCCATGAGATTTACGGATAAAGCTACCACCCATGATTTATGGAAAGAACTACAATCCACGAATCCAGATAAAGCTACAATCAATGATTTGCGAATAAAGCTACAATCCATGATTTACGGATAAAGCTTCAATCCATGATTTACGGATAACTCTACAATCCATGATTTCCGGATAAATCTACAATCCATGATTTCCGGATAAAACTACAATCCATGATTTACGGATAAAGCTTCAATCCATGATTTACGGATAAAGCTTCAATCCACGAGATTAACTGATAAAGCTACAATCCATGATTTCCGGATACAACTACAATCCATGATTCCGGATATACAGCTACAATCCATGAGCTTTTCGGATAAAGCTACAATCCATGATTTACGGAAAAAGCTACAATCAATGATTTACTGATAAAGCTACAATCCATGAGATTTACGAATAAAACTACAACCCATGATTTACGGATAAGGCTATTACACACAGTCACTGAATAAACCTACAACCCTAGATTACTAGATAAAGTTACAACCCGCGATCCTCAGGTAAAACTACAACATACGACCTCTTGATAAAGCTACAACCCACGATTACTGGAGGCGATCCCTGGAACAAGCGACAAAACAAGCGACAACAAGCAATACCTGGAACAAACGACAACAGGCAATACCTGGAACAAACGACAACAGGCGATACCTGGAACAAGCGACAACAGGCGATACCTGGAACAAGCGACAAAACAAACGACAACAGGCAATACCTGGAACAAACGACAACAGGCAATACCTGGAACAAGCGACAACAGGCGATACCTGGAACAAGCGACAACAGGCAAAACCTGGAACACAAACGACAACAGGCAATACCTGGAACAAACGACAACAGGCAATAACTGGAACAAACGACAACAGGCGATACCTGGAACAAGCGACAACAGGCAATACCTGGAACAAACGACAACAGGCAATACCTGGAACAAACGACAACAGGCAATACCTGGAACAAACGACAACAGGCGATACCTGGAACAAGCGACAAACAAGCAATACCTGGAACAAGCGACAACAGGCGATTACTGGAACAAGCGACTACAGACAATACCTGGAACAAACGACAACAGGGCGATACCTGGGTCAAGCGACAACAGGCAATAACTGGATCAAGCGACAACAGGCGATACCTGGATCAAGCGACAACAGGCGATACCTGGATCAAGCGACAACAGGCGATACCTGGATCAAGCGACAACATCTTAAATACGAGGATGCCGCTCACTTGTAAACTAAAACTCTACTAACATATCAAATTTACATGTAGTTCCAATTAATGCATTATTACAATTTTTTCATTAAATTCAATTTAAAATTTATTAACAGGTGTTTGCGATAACGCCGTTAAGAGACACGGATTTGGTTATAACCCGCATCCATTTGACTGTACACAGTTTGTGCAATGCTTTTACCTCCCTGGCCGGCGTGTGGAACCCGTTTACAGAAACTGTGAATTTGGACAATTTTGGGACCAATCAAAAATTGGATGTTTCCCGGCAAAATATGTCAGCTGTCCATTTGGTAAGAAATGTTTTTATTTTACATACAGGTAGTATTTAATAGCATCTTTTGCGGTGATATGCTTACTAGATATAACGTTAGGCTTATAAAATCTTTATTTTGCACATAATTTTTCTTTCGTGGTAGACAATACTATGTTTAATGTTTTTTTCTTCTCCGCTGCTGCCTACATTGGTACAGATCGAATTCGATATTCCTTTCATTATCTGTTAACATCAACATTGACAAATAGGGGTGTCGATAATTTTTTATTAAAGCATACTATTTATCGCCTAGATCGTTTACCACCTAATCAACCACTCATGCGTTTAGCATAATAGTGTAGTGGTAGAGTGTTCGTTCTGTGAGTGTAGAGACCCTGGTTCGAGTCCTGGAAAAGACATTTTTTTTCTTAAAATTCCTTCTTTTTTTTGTTTTTAGTACATTTTTTAACAAAGAACTGTATTTTAGTTTCACGTGAATTTCATTCACTCAATGCTATATAATATGAGAGCATTTAGGTATACATATATTCTCATTTATAAAATAAAATTGATAATACTATTTAAGCTGTTTATTGACAATTAAAAATCAAATACATTCAGTTATGCTGAAAAGTCATAAGTTTAACTTTAAATTATGCAAGACATTATAATAGAGAAAATGAAAAAGTATGTGACACACTATAAAAATATATTCTGAAAGTAAAAAAAAGCATACTCAAGAAATGTGCACAGTTGCAGATTTGAACTCGAAAAAAAAACATGTTCATAACCTAAGATCTTCATTATCTATCTGAACTCTCTAACCACTACGCTACTTTATTTCCACTTTCCACTTCTATATTGCAATAAAAATGCAAAATGTAATAATTGAAGAACTTGAGCAACCCATTCTATCATAATGGTACGACCGATTAATGTAATCGTGACTTACATATGCTAAAAACTGGGGCATAACAATTATATTTAGTTCCATTAATACTTGCTGTCAAACAGGTTAATTCTGGTATATGGTATCCTTGTTTTATCTTTCTCTCAAAATTTTGCAATGTACAGTTGTAGACAATTATGAATATATGTAATGACATTATTTGCATCCATTACAGTTGCGGAGCTAAGTAGTGATCAATGTAGAATTAATTCTAAATTTATAAGAAAGTCAATTAGATACACAGATCTGAAAATTAAATGTATTTCTAACACTACATATACTTTGTATAATTAATAAATGAGCAACCTGTAAAAATAAATGTTCGACCTTTTTATCAATTGTTAGTCGGTGACATTGGTTGATTGTGATTTTTGCCTGTATTTATCTACAGACAAGTGTCAAATACCAGGATCAAAGTTTTACAAACATACAGATACAAACAAATGTAATGCGTATTGGAAATGTGTGAATGGCAAGGCATTTGGTCAATGTTGTCCACAAGGTGAAAGGTTTGTCCAGGAGCTTGGCTGTGTACCGGATCCATCTTGTACAGACATGTGTCCACTCAAAGATCGTGTTCCAGGTAAAAAAATATATATCTTTCTTCATTTTCGTCAATAAGTAATCACGACAACTGTACATATTTTTGCCTCCTGCACGGTTAAAGTTCCTATCTCGTACACTAATGTTGGCAGGAATATTCTTATATAGAAATGAGTTGCAGTCCTATGTTTTAGAAAGCTGCCACATCAAAAATCGTACTTTGAATTAAAAAATTGAACAATGATTTCTACATTATTATACAATTCAGGTCTCTTTCCAACATTTATGATGTGTACAATGAGTTATTAGAGGGCCTACTAGAGTAGACTATTAGAAAATTTATTATACATTTGCTAGTTTTAACAAGACCAGGTGTCAGTCTCAACTCTTAACCACAAGATAACGTCAGTCAGTTTGTAATCATAATGTGCAATGTTATATAATAAAAAAAGATATAAGAATTCAGGTAAAAGTCAATATTTGAAAGTATGTATTTAATCAAATTCTAAAATTTCTGATTTGACATGAAAAAGAAATGGCTTTGTTTGTTTACCAATAGGGTGTCCTAGGAGACCAATATCTGGAGCGCCGACAAAGTATGAGCAGTATACCGACAACGGTATATGGCAGAGAGAGGAGTGCCCGCCCGGTGCCGCCTATGACCCAGCTGACTGTCGTTGTTCGCTAGAAGGTCTTATTGTACCAGGTAGAAGTAAGTACAAGTATAATCTTAGTAGCTTTATATAAAGTTAAGAATACATCGAGCGTTTCCGTAAATATTGTGCAGTAAGATACGTCAACAAACATAATTGTACATCATGTTTCTATCAACCTTTTTTTCAGTTTCTAGTTTTTACAAAATAAGGACATTGAATTGAAAATCAATTTAAGATTTAAATTGGGGTCTCATTAACAATTTTACATTCCATCACTAAAATAACACATTTAATGCAGCAGTCTAAAAATACCATCTATAACAAATCTGATCTTTTAAAGATATACTATGCTCAAATTTTATATGAGAAAATATTGATAATTGTTACACAGTTGTCCCTTTGTAAGTATAAAATAAACATGTTTTGACTTCACACAAAGTAGATATGCTATGTAACCTCTTACTTTGGGGATCAACGCACTTTAGGGTCCGACCCAATAGTGCGTTATGCACTTTTGAGGTCCACTATAGCAAAAAATATGTTTATCAAATTCATGATATAGCAATGATATACCAGTAAGAAAGACATGTGCTCTGTGATTTTTTTATTTGCATATAAAACTACTAGCAAAAGTCAATGTAAGGATAAACATGTATCTTTACGTTGTTGTTTTTTCTATATAAGTCACTTATCTGTCTTACTCATTTTTAGCTTTAAACATAATACATTTTTTTTATGTTTACACTACATTTTTAACATTTTGTTTTGATCATTATGTTTCTATTCTAAAATTAATAAAGGCATAGAACATGTAGAAGGCCCTTTGTTAGCCAAATATGTACATATCTTCCTGTTTTGACACTATATTTCAAATGATCTAATAAGTGGCAGCTGAACACAAACGATCCATTTATCCGCTGTCTGTTGTTGCTGTACGCCGAGGAGATATTAACACTATCACACCATAAAGCACTGTCACACCTTTCGAATAGAGTAGATAGAAGTTGGGCTCTTTTTGGTGACTTGCTCCCCATAAATTGGGGTGTAAAAAGCAACAGTTGCTACGAATACAGTTCTTTGTCAAATTTTAAGCACTATTCGGATAGAGATCCGCGAGGAGATACGACAACAAATTAGTGCTCTATTTGAAAGTATGTCTATATAATTATAGGGCTCAATGTTTATTATTTATAGGGTGCAAACCGGATGTTGTCATCAATTTTGACAAAGGTGTTCCTGAAGATGTTTCGGGGAATAACAACAAAATTCACGCTGAAGGAGTGAGCATGTACCGTGGGGCTGCTTATTTCCGGGGACATTCCCGTCTTGTCATAGACCGACTCCGACCTAGTAAATATGACGAGGGTGTACTTATCATAAAGCTAAAGTTCAGGTAAGATCATATATTAAAATGCTATGAATTCATATTTCGTAACCGCCGGCTTTGTCTGACTGAATGATTATTTATCGAACATCGCGCATGTTCTTCAGACAAAATCAGTATATAACTCATTGTAAGAGCAATAAATGTTTTATATAGTGTTTCAATGTCTGTTCGAAAGATTAATTGATGTGGCCAGGAAACCTCTGCGACGCACTTTATCATGTAGACAAAATGATTTGATTTTAGAGATTCTAGTTTTAACTAGATCTGTCAGTTTACTTCATGGAAAACATCTCCTTTTAGCAAAATAGTGTAAATTTCAATGCATCTGGTTTGTCAAGAAAAGAACGATCGAGTGAAACGGTTATTTTTTTTATAGGCAGAAACAAATTTAACTGTCACTCCTGGTCATTTAAAGCTTTATAAGGAATACTTTGATTATGATTGTGAGTTTACTTACAGCGAGGATAACAGAAGAAGGCGCTCTCGTGGACTTCAAGGCCTGGTAACAAATGGTCATTGTGGGAAACAACCTTCCGTTGTCATAGCCAAGTTACCGAACTCAATCCTCCTTGGTGCAGAAGCCAATATATCCCGTTCTTTTCCCCTTCCTATTGTGGTAAGTTCCGGAGTAATGTTTTAAAATAGTTATATATAATCAAGCTATCACGCTACAACCTTTAAAATATGTTCACACGCATGTTATATACAGCTTCTGATGTTTTTATGTTATTGACAACAATACTTAATAGCAATATAATCATTTAAAAAGTTTGACATGTGTTTATAGACACATACTTTGAAAATTTGAAAAATATTCATGAATATATATATGGATACTTCATGTATATATACAAATAATTTTATTGATGTTAACTTTTCCTGAATAAATATAAATAAGTAAACTATACGTGCTCTTTGTTTAGAACAAGCCGTGGAAAGAGGTCGTTTATATCAAAGATGATTTCAAACTTCACGGACGAGTATGTGGGGCTGGTTTTAATGACTGGTGTACTGGAAAGTTAAAGGAGACTAATTGTGGATTCCAGATTGGAGCTGCACCTGGACTTGCTGGTTTTGTCGGTCTTATTGATGATGTATGTATTTTAAAATCATCTTAGAAAATAATAATGAAGTTTAAAATTATTATTTCTTTCAGTATGAAAAGATCGTATTTAGGTACAAAAAAACTTTGTTTTCAGGAAGTTAAAAAGTGTGCCATGGTCGTATTTTTTAACAAGACATACCGAGCGCGTTTATTATATCAATATACTACTATAGTCCAAAACTATTACCATTTATATTTGACATGTAGTGACAATCAACATATATTTTGTTCTAAACACACAAACACATCTATGAAAATTATATAAAATATTTGTTTATTTCTTTTATGTTTCAGATATCAATATACAGATGTAAGCCATTGGACACAGTTCTAAACATTAATTATTGATACCAAAAACATCATATGTATGGTTCCTCATAGACTAATCTACTAATAATCTAGACACGTGTTGATTGTCTACGTTATTTAATAATCTGGTAGTGATATAGGTATCAGTTGAAGAAATTGCTACGTCATTTTAATTATGTTACATTGTTTAAAATGCAAATAAGAATAAAAGCGATTTTAACGAATAATAATCAGATCAGATGTGTAAGAGGTGCCTTAATTCAACTATACCAATTATAATATAAGCCGTGTCACGACAAAACCAACATAATGTGTTTGCGACCAGCATGGATCCAGACCAGCCTGCGCATCCGCGCAGTCTGATCAGGATCCATGCTGTTCGCTTATGCCCCGGTCACATATTCACGGATAATGCCACGGAAGAGCTACGGTTAGATCGTTCACGGATTACTACGGAAATGTGAAATTCCGTAGTCCGCTACGGTTCCAGTACGGACTCACAACGGTATGAGTACGGAGTCCGACGGATTTACCGCCAAAAGCCCCCGGAGAGACACGGATTATTACGGACCGACACGGTTTGATACGGAGCGACACGAATCAGGACGGACGCACTACGGATACACTACGGTCTGCTACGGTATAAGCACGGGTTAATACGAATGAGTACGGTCTGATACGGAGAAGAACGTTTTGATACGGAGAAGAACGAATTGCCACGGATCTATACGGACCTAATACATCCGTCCACAACCTCTTGCTTGCTCATTTTCAAAATGCCTTAAAAGAAAAGAACACCTAGAAAACGAATTTCAAATTCAATGGTTTTGGCGGAGAGGATTCAGCCTAATCGCGTCCGAACCCCGAGACACATCAGGTCCAATTAAAGTAAATTTCTTGAGTGACGCTGGATCCTCAACAAGTTCGGCCATGAGAGCCTCATACTAAACATGAAGCGGTCTTCGTAAAAGCCCATCTCTGGTCCACTATCTCGTCTGCCTTCTCTCACCTGATTAGATATGGACTAATGTTGATAAATACTGCTTCTCTTTTAATTTTAAGATTTGCTGTTCATCTTACAATTTCATTAATTATCGTGATGTTTATGTTTTAAAAATACGTAAAAAGCTTGTTAATTAATCTTATTATCACTCAAGGGCCAGTGTCCGAGGCTTATGAGACACTTCGTTTTATGTACATATTTACTCCATTTTCACGATCCAATGTTTGTAAAATATGTAACATTAAATGTTATTCTATTTCTTATGAATTGTAGTACGATATTGATATAAATTTACTTCTATGCATGGCATCAAGCAGCTCGACCATTTCCTTCGCATTCTGAGCCATTTCAATATAAAGTTGCAGCCAGTAAATGGCAATTATCATTTATTAAATGTTCCTGCAAATATATTATGTCTGTTTTTAACAAGAAGGTAGTATTAATACCCTTGAAAAAGTAAATGATACTTAATTCATCCGTACTAAACAGTGGTGGGCCGTACCACTCCGTACCGTTTCGTGTTGCAACGCAATAAACCGTATAAGACCGTGCTAATCCTTGCCTCTCCGTAGTACAACGTATTACGATCGTGGCTTTCCGTGACAATGCCGTATTAATCCGTATTAAAACCGTAGCTTATACGTAGGGTAACCGTACAAATACGTAGTTCTCCGTACCAAACCGTGGAAATCCTTGACAAGTTTGTGGACTACGAACCAGTACGGACAATTACGGATTTCGTACGGACCAGTGCGTATCAGTACGGATTAATACGGACTAGTAGGGATACGCTACGGTTGATTTTTCCGTAGCAAATTTTTGTGCATGTTCAAAAATTGTCAAGGATCGCTACGGATATACAAGGACTACTACGATTGATTACGGTTACAATACGGAGAGCTACTGACCAGTACGGGTAGCTACGGACGATGCCGGAATTAATCCGTGGCTCTTCCGTGGGCGTATTCCGTGAATATGTGACCGGGGTATTACAGACCCTATACCAAGTAAAGAAACTGATAGCGAACAGCATGGATCCTGATCAGACTGCGCGGATGCGCAGGCTGGTCTGGATCCATGCTGGTCGCAAACCCATTATTTGGTTTTGTCGTGACACGGCTCAATTATCATGTATTAAATCATTACTGTCTATACAAAAAATAGACTAAAGGACTGACACTGCTAGTGCAAGTATTTAGTCAAGGTATGCATTTCATTTTTGACTTGTATTTATTATGTAAATCCATATTTATATATTTGTTAATTTTATTTGCATGTATCAACATGAATTCGTGCTAAATCATATCGTCAATATAATATGTTAAATAATTACTTAAATAATATCCTTTAAAAATCATTTGTTCTTTTTTTCTTTAGCGATATTTTATTTAAAACGTCATTATTAAAATACTTGTTTGTTTTGATTTCACACAAACACACGCATACACAAAAACACACTGACTTAAACATCAAGGCAATACATGTATATGTCTCAGTCAATTTATCATAATTAACTTATAAATAGCTCATTAACATATTTGATAAATAATTTAATGGTCGTTATATGTAAATAATAATTTTTTTTAACGCAAATGTGATTTTAGTAACATTTTTATGCATAACCATTATTTGAATAAAAACATTTGAACAACACATCAATCTTCCAATTGCATAGCTAAAATTGCTTTTCTTAATTTCTTTTAAAACTCGGCTTTTAATTTCAAAACGACATGTTTTGTTATGTTAGAGTGCAGATCCTGGATATTTACAACCCCTCCCACCATTAAACACACACACACACAAATAATAACGATAATAATAAAAAAATATCTTCTTTGGAAACCTGTAAGAAATATCCATTGTTGGATACATTTGATTAATTTGTTCACAAAAGCACCGTGTATATCCAGTAACGCCGGAATGTGAATTTCACGCACGATTCGTGCAATAAGTAACCCAGAATTGTGCAATTAATGGCGGATACCTGACAGGATTTCCAACGCGGAAAGTAAACTGGCCAATATATTTATTTATTTAATCGAACTGAAAAAAAATGCATACGGCTGCAAAGACATTACTCTTCATCCCTCATCAAGATTATTTCAACGAAATTGTTTATAGACAGGACTGATTTTAAGAAAATATGAATGCTAGAGGCATTTTATAGTACAAGTAATATCTTGAGTGTTTTAACCTAATATGGGTATGCTGAGGATACCAAGAAAATAAAATTGACCTTGACTTCAAAATGTCAATTCAAAATGGCCGCTTAATAATACTAAAATAGGTCATTAAAACTATGATACAGTATGGTGCAATTAATTATTCTTGTCAAAATCAAATGATTATTCAATATGATCAGATTTTAATGAGATTGGCCACCAAATATAACGATTATAAGCCTAATGGCTCAATTAACAGTTATTTACAGTACTGTTTTACTAGCGCGTTAAGGTATATGACTTAGATTGACAAAAATCATTTTAAATTTATGTTTTGTTTACTTGACTTATATTTAACAATAAACTTAGTTTTAAATCCGTCTTTATAAATATAATGAAATAATAAATATTTCGAAATAACAAACTAATATTTCGTAATTACGGAATAATATTTCCTAATAACAAATCAATATTTCGTAATTTAGATTTTATATTTCGTTAAAAAATAATATTTCTAATTGGGAATTATTATCTCGTAAAAACGAATTCAGTAATTTTCAACATTATTTGATGCTATGATTTTTTTTTAAGTTGTTCATTTTGTTTTCATATATTTTGCACTTATTATGGTATTTATGGTTTAAATAAATATTAAAAAATTATTTTGAAATGTCAAAAAATGTCATTTCAATGCCATAAATACTACAGAAACCGAGACAAAAAGTGTTTTAAAATATATATTGCAAACCCTCCCCCCGCCCCCCCAAAAAAAACAACAAGAAACAACAGTAGGTCTTAAAAATAGGCAAAAGTAGGAATCGAACCATAGACCTCTAACACATCATTCAATCACTTAACCGACTGTGCTACTGCCGAAGTAACGATAGCGTTTACATTTTTAGCAGATATGACTTTCTATCTTTCTATCTATGATATTAGTTTTATAGTTTTTATTTTATGCATTTCAGTGGATTACTGATTTATCCGTGAAAATTATATTCGATAATTTCACAGTGAAAATTATCAAAATATAATTTCACATTTTTCAATGACGAAACTACTTTCTTAAGATTTTCCCCATGTGGTACCTCAATTTTATTTTTGCTGACAATTCTGAAAATGTGAGGCTGTTTAGAGAAAAGTAAAGCTGAAATTGATAAATAACTTAAATGTCAAAAGTAATAAAAAGAAGAAAACTTACTATATCCAAACTACCAATCAGCAAAAATCGTCTCTTAATTTTTTGTTTCATTTTTACAGTCTGAAAAATACATTTCTTCCACATGCAAAACATCTCTTGATGACATTTGCATAGATGACATATATAGATAGCACCTTTGTAAAGCCTTTTCTCCAGAAACTAACTTAAAACATAATAATTACATAATTGCACGTATTTAAAAAAATTGAATTAAGGCAGTACAAAATTTTAAGAATATAAGCTTGTATTATGTTTATCCTACTTAAAACATTATCAGGATCAAAAACTCCTTTTGTAACCCAAATATCTAAGACATTATGGCTCTATCTCAATCTATGAAAGTTGTTTTCTGTCTATTTTCTGTACCTCAGGTTTATATATAAAAATGTATTAATTGAGTGTTGAGCAAACTAGGTAAAAAATATCCAACTTACAAATTTACAAATCCTACTTTTTAAATGGTTACAACAACATTTCTGTCCCATTCTTTTATAAAATGTGTCACTTGCTGAAATGTTGAAATTAATAAAGAGCCGTTTTTCAGCACACTGTGAACATTACACATGTATGCTGCATGTAAGTTTTTTGTGTATTGTTTTGTTTGTATTTGCTGTTTTCTGCCGAAAATAATATCTGCATAATTCATTTTTTTATTCAATTAATTTTTATGGTCCCATATGTATGGTCCCCCGAACCAGATCGAATCTTATTGGAAAATTACCAGTATTAAACGAATTATGTCATAATGTAGATTTAACTGATCGTTCTGCGATAGACTCTCTTTTATTAGGCTTTAACAATGTGATACAAGAAATTGCGAAACCGTTATTTTGTAAGAATTATAGTATACATAATCAGCCTACATTTAT